TGGATGGATGGATGGATGGATGGATGGCATGAATAGATGGATGGAAGAAATGGGGTGAGATGGGTTGGAGTGGAATGGGATGGGGTGGGAGGGATGGGAAGGGATGGGGGTGGGATGATTTGGGATGGATGTGGGAGTAGGGCAAAGAGGGACTCTGGAGCAGAGACCACCCAGAACAGCTCTGCCTTCAAATGGCCTCCGGCCCTAAGTGACCGATTCCCAACCCCATGGCTCCCTGGGCCACCATCGCCCTGCTCTGCCTTCCAGGCATCGACTGGGCCCCTGAGAGCAACCGGCTGGTGACATGCGGGACCGACCGCAACGCCTATGTCTGGACCCTGAAGGGCAACGTCTGGAAACCCACCCTGGTCATCCTGCGGATCAACCGGGCCGCCCGCTGCGTCAAGTGGTCCCCCAAGGAGAACAAGTTTGCCGTGGGCAGCGGCTCCCGGCTCATCTCCATCTGCTACTTTGAGCAGGAGAACGACTGGTGAGGCTCAGCCATGGCCTCGCTGGGCCTGTCCTGGGGGGGATGGATGGATGGATGGATGGATGGATGGATGGATGGATGGATGGATGGATGGATGGATGGAGGGGAGATGCATTGGGAGATAGGAGGCTGGAGGAGTTGGAGGGGAGACAGAGAGGAGGAGGAGGAGGAGGTGCAGGAAGAGACAGTTGGGGAGATGGAGGGAGGTGCTCCAAAACCCTGCTGCTGGGGGTGGGACATGCTGTCCTCATGCCCTGGCTGCTGCTGCAGGCTGGTCACCCAGGGCAGCTCCTGGGGCGCTTGGAGCCCTGACCACCCTCAGCCAGCCCCCCGAAAGCCCAGGGGGGTTGCCGGGGGTGGTGATGCTCCCCCACTGACACCAACTGCTCTGCCCGCAGGTGGGTTTGCAAGCACATCAAGAAGCCCATCCGCTCGACGGTGCTCAGCCTCGACTGGCACCCCAACAACGTCCTCCTGGCCGCGGGCTCTTGCGACTTCAAGTGCCGGTGAGGGGGCGGATGAGCGGGGGGGGGCATGAGGCGGGGGGGGGGCCCCCCCCAGGGTGGGGGGGGGGCGCCCCCCCGGGCGGCCCACAGGCG